CTGACCCCTCATCTAAGATGCCTGACACCTGGTGCACCTTGGTCATAGAGCTTTCTGCAGAATCTTCACTGATGGTGCTCAGACCATCAGTAGTATTTTATGCACATGTTTGCACTCCCATAGACAGGACTCCTTGGTGAGTGACAACTATGTATTCAGGCACAGTGTGCAGGAATCCCAGCATCTAGGAGTCAGAGCATCGATGTGTGGATGGAGACGGCGACCCGGTGAGTGGCTGAGAGCAGCTGGGCTCTGAGGTCTCAGCAACGGGGAGGATGCTCCCTGTGACCAGCAGGGGGCGCTGTGGGCCAGCCCTCTGGTTCCACCTGCTGCTCAGTGAGGACCATTCACTGAAAGGAGCCCATGCCTGGGGGCTGGGCCCTGTGCTCACTGATGGGGACCCTGCTGACAGCTGTGTCCTCTCTGTCCTGGCAGAGTCCCCTGAGTGAGAACCTTTGTGTCTGTCAGCAGGTGCTTCCTCCCAAGGCTTCTCAAGGAGAAACAAACCCTCCTCCTCCTTGGTCTAGAGGGTGAGCTGAGCTACAGTGTGGTGGCTCAGGGAGGGGCTGGGATGGAAGGACATTTGAATTGGCAGCCCCTCCTCCGGCAGAGGGTGGAAATAAAAAGAGAGCCTGGGGCACCCAGCCTCACTGTGGGGCCTCAGCAGGGCTGTGTCCACCATGGCCTGGGCCCCTCTCCTCCTCGTGCTCCTCTCTCACTGCACAGGTAGGGACAGGGCTCCGAGACCCGGGGAAGCCCCCAGCCCGAGTCAGGCCCTCTGGCTTAGGTCCCCAGCAGCTTCCCCCTTGTCCCTGCCCATCACCATGTGTGTCTGTGTTTGCAGGTTCCCTCTCCCAGCCCGTGCTCACTCAGCCACCCTCCATGTCTGCATCCCCGGGAGCATCTGTGAGACTCACCTGCACCCTGAGTAGTGGCTTCAGTGTGGGCAGCTATTACATCTACTGGTATCAACAGAAGCCCGGGAGCCCTCCCCGGTTTCTCCTGTACTACTCCTCAAGTACAAGTTTGGGATCTGGGGTCCCCAGTCGCTTCTCTGGAGGCAAAGATGCCTCTGCCAATGCAGGGCTCCTGCTCATCTCTGGGCTGCAGCCTGAGGACGAGGCCGATTACTACTGTATGATTGGGCACAGCAGTGCTTCCCACAGAGACACAGGCAGATGGGGAAGTGGGACCAAAAAACCCAGTTCCTCAGGGTCTCTGAGGCTGACGCTTCTCTATTATTTATATGACTGTGATCTCCTCTGACTCCATCTGGTGACAGCGAGGACACATAATGGCTCTCCTCCTAGTTTCCCACTCAGTGTCTTTCAAATCTCAGGAAAACAAAAAAAGTGATGCAAACAAAAGCACACACACACACATGCCTCCCAAACACTCTGAACGTACACGTTGGGCCACATGTGATCAAACCAGAGCAGGGGAACTGCCTAGTTCTCTTGTATAAAAGCACATTTGTCCCCTAGTGTCCTTCTGAGGAGCATTGGTGGCATAGTCAGTTAATCATCTGGTTGCTAACCACAAGGTCAGCAGCTCAAACCCAACAGCTGCTCCACTGAAGGAAGGTGAGATAGTCGACTTTTGTAAATATTTGCATCCTTAGAAACCCAATGGAGGTCACTATGAGTCATAATCTACTCGACAACAGAGAAATTTTCATTTCCTTCTGAGTCAGAGGCCTGGGGACAATCCCTGCAGATGAACCATCCCCCAACTTCAAGACCTGTGCTCTGGGACGGTGAGAGCATGGAATTCCCTCTCCTCCACAGTCCCCTGTGCTCAGGGCTGGGTGAGGTTCACACTGTGTCTGGGGACCAGGCACTGAGGTTTGACAACACTCTGAGGGCTTCCAGGCACAGGGTTAGCCTGGCACGGTTGCCTACACCTTCAGATGTGATTTCCAGGAGAGGGGTCTAGACACAGGGTAATTTGGGCCCTGAGCCCAGCACAGCTCTTGTGAGATTTGAGCAGGTGAAGGTGATGCCTCACCACTTCTGGGAAAGCACTGAGTCTACTCCTGGGAAGTGGGATGAAGAAGGCCCCAGGAATGTGGATTCCCTACAGCCAGTCTCTCTCAATGTCCATTGAGACTCACCTGGCTGGGATTTCCTGAGCCCACAGGACATGAGTTGACTTCTTTTCTTTTCTCCTCTTGTACTTTACTGAAGCTTTTCAGCAAACCAGGCTGCATACCAGGGTCTGAAGAACATCAGGGACAGAGAGTGCATAAATACCTTCACCAGGAAGCCCTGAAGAAGTCCCATATCCTAAGGTCTCCATCTCCTGTAGAGGGTGCAGCCAAAGTACTGAGGGTTACCATGACAACCAGTAACAATGGCTCCCAGACTGAGCTGCTATGTTGTGACCTAGCACTTCAGTGTTCAACATGCAAAGGCTTGGCCCAGTTTTCTGCTTCCAGGTTTGGCAACATGGTTTCTTTCAGCATTTCTGGCCTTCAGGCTGAGAATGAGGCTAATTATCACTGTCACACAGCTGGTTGTGACCTTACACCATCATGAACTCTTGTCTCAAGGGGAAGTGAGATAAGGATCTGAACTGTCCTTCTCTTATCTGGCAGGTACTTCCCTGTCCCTGCCTGTGACCTATACCAGCTCAGGCATTGGCTTCTGCTGTCACTGTGCTACTAAAACCAGAGTGCCTCATGCTCTTGACTCTGCCTGTTTATGGAATCAATTTAAAACAAACAAACAAACAAAATCCACCTTTTTGTTACTGGTCTCTCAATGCTCACAGAATCACTTTGTCTCCAGAAGCAAAAAGAGCCCTGCGTGCTGGGTGGGGATGACAAGAAGGCAGAAATCCTGCATCGGTGACATGGGGACACAGATGCATCTCTGCCTCTCAAACATCCCCCCTCTTACCCAGAACGTTTGCAACTCCAGGAAAGCTTCAATTCTCTTTTCCTGAGACTGCAGCCTCCACAAAGTGCTCTGGTGGCACAGTGTCTGAGGCATTTGACTGATAACCAGAGGGGTGGCAGTTCAAACTTACCTGACACTCTGTGGAAAGAAGACAGGGGAAACACAGTGGGGGTGGCTGTAAGTCGGAACCAACTCAGTGGCAGTGGGTTTTGGTTTGGCACCCCCAAAAGTTCCAGAATGCCAGGAAAAGGACCCCACACTCCCATGAAGGACATGGCCCTTAGACCCATTAAAAGCTCACTTTCCTGTGAAATCCCATGACTTTTCCTTCTTTTTCATGTCTACTTGTTTGGATGGGATGAGGTCGGAATACATCTCTTTGTTGGAACTTAGGACCTATGATTCTAATCTTCATTGTCACTGACACCCCAATATTACAGGATTTTGTGGAAATTCTCATTCTTTCTTCACTGTCAGTCATGGAGTACTTAAAATCGAGTTGACCAGGCCACCATGTGTGTGGGAACACATGATATGGGCTCCCCATGTTCCTGGAGGAGAATAAGAATCTCTGACGAGGGGGAGGGTTCTGTACACAGCAATGAGTCTATTTCTATCAATCTTGGTAAGTAGAACTGTTATAAAACTAGATTAAAATGTGTCAACTCCCTTTTGTACATACAGTACTGTGTTGTCAGTGAAGCCTAACATGGGTATATGGGTGGATAGATGGGTGAACAGGCTGAATGATAAAGTATGTCTATGAAATGGGGAGTGTATCCAAGAACATATATAGGGTTGGCAGACAATGGTCCTATAAGTTTATG